CAAAATACAGCAATTTATAGAGCTACAGCAAAAGCAAAGATCGAGAACCTCACGCTATACATGTGGAAAAAATTAAATTCAGCAGAACAGGTCAAACACAGGGTGAAGGTGAAGAAATGACTAAAACATAATGAAAACATTAGTGAGGAGATGCACTCCTGACACTTTCACGAGGATTAGCACCAAACAACTGCAGTGACAAAACATTTTCCTTCTGAACACATAGTTCAGGGGACAACTTATGAATATAATGCTTGTCCCCTGTTGTTAATGCTCCGTCTGACTTTGCCCGTCCATACACTACGTCATTTTTTCTCTGCATGCTTGTGTACCTATGAACTCTTTGTGTTCCCTCCGTTGACGCTGCAAAATCGCTTATCAGACTAAATTTACATAGCTATTTGTTCTTCACCAAATTTCGATTTCAATCTTCGGCACCCAGAAGAAATCCCAAGATTACGCCAAATATTATGCCAGCATAATCCGCCAAGGGCTATGACAAGGAGTCGTAACTGGGGTTATTTTTTTATTATTTTATTCTTCTTTTACTAGGGAATTCCCAACAGGCGTCGGCGCAAGTGCATTTTGTATATGAAATCCATACCATTGAGAAGGATGCCAATAACTCACCACGAGGGCACATTTTGTACGTGCAAGTTATGTTTTCTTGGAAGTCTGGTACTACTTCTTGACGATGGAAAAATTATTTTCACATACCACACACATACGCTGCTAAATTGGCACCTATACGTCTAAACACGGAAATTGTACACAATGCAAATCGTCAGATTCCGACATTGACATGAAACTGCCAAAAAAAGTCGACTTCAGAGCGGAAACGAACGCCATAGCCATCACAGACTTCAGTGGCCATGCCTCGCTCGCAATTGAGAGCAGCATCGCCCCAAAATCGCTGTCCGATGGCTCCGTAAGGTCGTGCGCAAGTCGCGCAGCGCTGCCGTCACTCAGGTACGTAGAAAGTCGATGGCCTAAAATTCCGTCTCTGGAAGACAGTCGACACAGGGATCACTCTCCATGGATTCCGCACCATGAGCACCATCAGAGTCTTCCAGTTACATCACGACGACATCGTCTTCAGCGGCTGGAGCTTCCGATATTTGCGTGAGAATTTACTTGGCGTACGCTCCGCTCCGCAATTTGAAATTCGCTTGCATCAGCGGCTGGAACGAAGTATTTATCTATCTGTCGTGGGTCCCAGAGCGAAGGTCTGCTAGGTCCTCGTTGGAGAAGTCATCTGAGGACGAAAGGAACTCACTGCGCAAGAGGAAATGCAACTGACGACGTTTTGACGGAGGCAGACGGCAATGTCGGCGCGCATGTATTTCCGTAAATTTTCGATCGCACAGCTCTCAATGAAATCAAATGGGACACGCGTGGATCTCTTCAGCTACGGATAGGATCATACCTAGGCTGTGTGAGGGCCACGGGAAATCCCCGTGGGCTGATGCTTCCTGTCATACCAGGCATGGTTTTAGTATGCATGTCGAATGCGTCGTTTACGACGCATTCAAGTATGGAGCTGCCGGTAAAGGGTTAAAAATAACATCTGCAGGCTTTCTGACAAAGCTGTATTATGCCCCTAAGCATAATTTTTGTCTAAACCGAAAGATTATGCCGACCTTACACGCTGGCATTCGTATCATGCCGGAGCATAATTTTTGGACGAAATCCCAAGATTATGCCAAATAATATGCCGCCATAATCCGCCAAGGGCTACTCTTAGCCGATTGAAATGCCGATTGGGTGAAAAACGGGCCGATTTGTGTATACTGACAGCTATTGATTGGTAATAGTAAATGGAAACTGTCTCAGCCAACAGGAAAGTGGGACAAAAGTGTCGATATTTCATGAGATCTGGACAAAAGGCGTCCAGATGAGGACCTCGGCAGGACACAGGAAATTTTCTCTCAAATCTGGACTGTCCGGATGAGGTCGGGACGGTTGGACAGTCTGTGGGCATTATCCATCTGCATTCAATAATTATTTTCAAAACAAAACTCCTAAACCCACCAGCCCCCAAACAAAAACATTTCGTTTTGAAAATACCAATTGTTAACGTCTCACTTAGTCAACTGAGGAATAATCGTCTCTTCATTAGTAAAGAAGCAGTTTTATACAGTAAGTAGAATAACAGGTGGCAAGGTGAGCCATGAACAGTAAGTGCTAGAAGTTTCACAAGGTGTGCAACTGATAGGCGCGTACATAGGTGTGCAGTGACAGGCGCGTACATAGGTGTGCAGTGACAGGCGCGTACATAGGTGTGCAGTGACAGGCGCGTGCATAGGTGTGCAGTGATAGGCACGTGCATAGGTGTGCAGTGATAGGCGCGTGCATAGGTGTGCAGTGATAGGAAGGCAGAAGAAGGTGCAACGGTTACACCATCCCCCTCCTCTCGATTGTGCAAAACACAATAGAATGAAATACTCAAGAACACAAGTGGAGCAATGTTTCTTCCGGACTCGTCCTTGAGAAAATTCTCTGGCTCCCAGGTTGTCTCATCATAACTCTTCCACTAACTTGACCAAAACTCGGGTGTGCCTTTGCATACTCCGTGATCCAAGATCACCTCCACAATAAACCCTGTGTTGCCGTCCAAATCAGTTGTAGGCGGCTGAGGCGGCTGGGTGACTCTGGGTGACTCTGGGTGACTCTGTGACTTGGTGACTCCATGACTCTGGGTGACTTGGTGATTGCATGACTTGGTGACTGCACAACTCTGGGTGACTGGGTGACTTGGTGACTCCATGACTCTGGGTGACTTGGTGATTGCATGACTTGGTGACTGCACAACTCTGGGTGACTGGGTGACTTGGTGACTCCATGACTTGGTGACTCTGTGACTCTGGGTGACTCCGTGACACTGGGCAACTGGGTAACTGGGCAACTGGGTAACTGGGTAACTGGGTAACTGGGTGACTGGGTACCTGGGTAACTGGGCAACTGGACAACTGGGTAACTGGGCAACTGGGAAACTGGGAAACTGGGTAACTGGGTAACTGGGTAACTCTGGGCAACTGGATAACTCTGGGTAACTGGGTAACTGGGCAACTGGGCAACTGGGTAACTGGGTAACTCTGGGCAACTGGGTGACTCTGGATAACTGGGCAACTGGGCAACTGGGTAACTGGGTGACTGGGTTACTGGGTGACTGGGTGACTCTGGGCAACTGGGTAACTGGGCAACTGGGAAACTGGATGACTGGGTAACTGGTTCGGTAAATCGTTTGGAAGACATCTGCAAACTGCCGAATAACTTCATCAATATCTTCTTGCTTATCCGGAGGGACCCTATTGCGAGACTCTGGAACAATATCGTCAACTACAGACACCCATGCTATGACACCCTTCGCCCCACATGTCAGCTCATGGCAGGCCCTAGTTCCAGAAATGAACATGGTTTCAATAGAATCCGGTTCAGAGCAACCAGGCGCCTTACCGGTTGCGATTGGCCTTCCATCGAGTGTTACCTGGTTAGTACGGAAGTTGACATCCGGGTTATACCTGGTGAGCCAGGGCTTTCCGAGTATTACGTCGTACTTGGCAAGTGGAAACACTCTGAAGGCCTGGTAGTCACTGAAATCTGCAACAACAATACTGAGTGCTTCCGTGACACCTGACATGTGACATGGTGTGCCGTTAGCCAGGGAAGCATTCAGGACTTCGGAGCTGGATTTTGTTGGGAGTTGGTGCTGACGCACGGAGGCGTCGGATATCAGATCGTGGGTGGACCCAGAATCGATCAGCATAGTTGCGCGGCGACCGTTGATCTTCCCAACAACCCGCAACAGGTCGTGCTCTTTGTCGACGACGACATTGCTGAGGTGTACATTTTCAGTAGTTCCAGGTTGCAGCGGGTTGGAGTCCAGTTCATCGTCACCAATGCCGCAGTACGCAGGTTCTTCCAAGATCAGGCCAGCAAACCGGTTGTGAACGGTGATCGGAGTCGGTTCTGAAGGTACCCTATGTGGCGCTAGCAAACGCACCGAACTTACTGACGCCCAGCATTTGGGTGACCTTGTCCTGGGCAGTTCCGTGCAATGTATAGCGAAAGACCACTCCTTGAACCGGTTTGCCTCGCCACCGAACACTTGAGGCTCCTTCGTACAAGGCCGACGTCTCGAGGTAGGCCGATTCTGGTTGACCGCAGCTCAGATACCCTTCCAGGGAGTCACAGGTACTGTTTTTAGCGTTGGACCGTTGGCTAATATCCTAGCAACTCGCAGCAGCTCCCAAATAGCGGCGAAAACCAGTAAACCGATTAGCAGGAACGATAAGACAGCAGGCGTCAGAAGGAACCAGTGCAAACTGGAGATAACCATCGAGAACCATCCTCTTTGCTACCAATGTAAACATCTCACTTAGTCAGCTGAGGAATAATCGTCTCTTTATTAGTAAAGAAGCAGTTTTATACAGTAAGTAGAATATTAGGTGCCAAGGTGAGCCGTGAACAGTAAGTGCTAGAAGTTTCACAAGGTGTGCAACTGATAGGCGCGTACATAGGTGTGCAGTGACAGGCGCGTGCATTGGTGTGCAGTGATAGGAAGGCAGAAGAAGGTGTAACGGTCACACTAATGGTAACCTTGGAGGGTCCCTTAGCAGTAGAATAGCTGGTCAATATTAAATTTTGTGAAATTGCTTGGTCAAGATATCCTCAAAAGCAGCACTGAGTTTGCTATTTAGGCTGCAGCATAAAAAAATAACAGACCAGCGCCATTAACCGTGGACTTTGGCCAACTGGAATTTGATTCTGGCAAGTGATTTTGGTGCCATCCCCAGCCGGTTCAGTTCAAGCATGCGCAATCTGATCTGGAGTCGAAATAGGGCTTGGATGCCCTCTGACGTGGCCTCCGATGCAGAACCCATCAGCTTACGCATCTCGTTACCAACTATGGTTGCCTGGACTAGGTAGCAACCACACATTTCTTTAAAACAGCACTTATCAATCAATGGAAATGGACTTGTGATACGTGGCAGACTTACCCAAGCACCCTCCAGAACTCCATTGACCATAACCTTGGCAAATCAAAGGAAGATTGCCATCAAACTTGTATCCTGCAACGCATTGAACCATAACACGATTCCTGACAGGACCTTTCACCCACGTTATGTAGGTAGTGGAGCTTAGTGTAGGTAGGGTGGTGCAGTCTTTAAATACTGCAGTACAAACGAGCACAGCACAGTGGAACTAAGGAAGCAGATAACATTTGCACTCTGAAGTATGCTCAAGCAACAAAGTCCCAGAATACCAGAACGCTCTGTGGATAGCTCATGAACCCTGATTCTGGGATACATGTAGCATCAAGAGTAGATAAACAAGAGTGTGCAACTCCGGATCTCTCCTGCACAATCTGCAGACACCCCCGCCCATGGCGGAATTTTTTGTTGACGTCACCTTTTTTTCAGAAATGCGGACTTTGCCGCAGAGCAGTGTGAGAGCACGTGCTGGGCACCGACCTTGTAGTGTAAAGCCCGGCCAAGTGCACGAGGGAAACCTCTCCAAAATGCTCGCAGTGCGTGCGTCGACGAAAAGATTACGTCAACAAAAAATTCCGCCGTGGGCCAACCCATCCGCGAGTTGCACACTCTTGTTTATCTACTCTTGGTAGCATTTATATCAAACGTTGTTGATCACTTTGGCCTTACTTCTTGCTTTCTCTTGTTTGTTCATTTTTTCATTTGCAAGTAAGTTTATTGTTAGCACACATATCATATTCATGATTGCTCTAGCTTTTATTGTTAAAATTCACACTTGTAAATTTCACTGCTGGTGTTCTTGGTGTTATTTCTCTCACTTAGGTTTTCTATATAAAAGGGGGTTTGTCAACTGACAACCGCTCAATTTAGTTGCTATTCAATCTTTAGATGAAAATTCTACCCTTTGGCGTCCATGGTTCGATTTCGAACCATGGGCCTTTTGTAAGCATGTGGGCGCAGTCAAACTTTCGGTTCTCGGCCAAATCTTGACCAAATTCAACAATCGAATGGTCTAGGTGGTAGAGAAAACTCTCAGCTATCGCCTCGAAGAGATCCGAAGCCTTCTCAATGAAGTTTGAGTGAGCGGCGAGCGATCGAACATTTTGAATTGTCTGTGCTGCGTGCTGCGAGTCAGCAGTGCGTAAAAAAAGGGATTTTCCCAGCTGCACGACAGGCGGCACGTGCCAAGACCTGCGTGGCGCAAAGTCACGGCAAGGTAAGCTTCTCCTCGAAAAATTTGAACAGTTCTGAGCTAGATCTAGGGCGCGTTCGAATTGTCCTTATGAACTGTTCAAACAAATTTTAAAAAGAGATTAGTTGAAGTGTCCCATTATTACCAATTCTATCATTTTCGAGTTTTTCAGTGGAATTGTGATGGCGATGATGACGTCCGATCAGATTGATCATCTCCGCGTACTACGTGACGTAGATTTTCCGAACTCTTCGAAACTGATCCACCTCTCCCATCAGATGAGGCTGAGGAGTTTCGAGGAGTTTCGAGCAGCTTCATTTTTCTGAAGAGGCCAATAAGGCCACCCCTTCAGAAAAACGAATCTCCTCGAAAAGTCAAAGAGTGACAATTCGAACGCGCAACTTGACTCAGTAAACTGATGATGGCTGCAGGAGACCGATTACGTCTCAGATCTGGAGCTGGACTCGCGTTTGGAGAACATTGTGGACTGTCTTACAGGCAGCCACCTACAACACCGGATCGGTCACCATGATGGGCGACTTTAATGTAAATGATGACCCAGTTTCTCCCGACCCACAATTACGCCACATGCATGACACGTGTGGAAGCTATGGACTGCAGAACGTCGTGACAGCACCAACTCGTGTTTTGCCCCAATGTGTGCGTGGAACCAAACTAGATCTAGTCTTGGTCAATCATGCCAACCTAACATCCTGGAACATCGTACCATGTGACATCAGCGATCACTTTGCTGTGAGTGCTTCACTCAGCTGTGCTACTGAAGTAAGCCAGCCAGCGAGTTCACTCCTCACTAGGCAGCTGCACAGAGTGGATATAGCAGCTCTCTGCGCTGACCTGCTTGCAGCAGACCTTCACATCTTTTCTCCACACGCGAGCGTCTACGACATGTGGTCCACTTGGCACGCTAGCATCATGCGTGTACTGGACAGTCATGCCCCGGTGACCCCAGTTAAGAAGCATTCCAGCAGAAAGCCATGGCTTAACAGAGACACTTACCAGCTAACAATGGCAAAGAACAGGCTGCACCGAAGATGGCTGCGAGACCGGGCTAACATAGCATTATTCCACCAGTACAAACGTGCTAGAACGGCGGCAGCAAACCTTGTCAGATGGAGGAAAAACCAGTACTTCAGAGATGAATGTGTTGCCACCAATCGCAATCCAAGGAAGATGTGGTCCCTATTAAACTCCATCACTGGCAGAGGAGGAAGCAAGCAGCAAGCAAGCTGAGACCCTGCATGTGATGTGAACAAGGTCAGCGTGGCATATAGCAACATTGTAACTGACCCTGATCGGCCAGCCCACTTGCCATTACCGAATAGACCCCCAGCTGACCACCCACTCAGCTGTCTGGGAGCAGCATCTTATGCTGCTGTGAATAGGCTTCTGCAAGCGATAATCCCGGTGAATGCAACTGGCAGTGATGGAATACCTGGGCTGCTTCTGAAATCCTGCATTGATATCCTCACGCAATCCCTCCCACGGATCTTCAATGAGTCTCTTGAAACGGGCATTGTACCTTCTGCCTTCAAGAAGGCCCTTGTCAGGCCTCTATAAAAGTTGGGAGACACAACATCCCCCGGGAACTATCGTCCAGTATCCCTGTTGCCGATTGCCTCAAAGCTGCTAGAGAAGCTCGTGCAGCGGCATCTTGTGGCATTCCTCGATGAACACAATGTTCTACCACCGACCCAATTTGCCTTCAGGAAAAGTCACTCCACTGAAGGTGCACTTGTGCTACTAACGGATCGTATTCTCACTGCAAAGGACTCAGCATTGCCTTGCTGCATCAGCCTACTTGACATGTCAAAGGTGTTTGACAAAGTCAGTCACCCTAAGCTGCTGCAGGACTTGTTCGACATTGGCGTTTCTGGAACGGCATTAGGTTGGTTTGCCAACTTTCTCAGCCATTATACCCAGCAAATGCGCATTGGAACCCAGGACGTACCCTGTAATGCATGCACATGCGGTGTTCCACAGGGATCCGTTTTAAGACCAATCTTGTTCAGTATATACACGCACGGCACACCAGAGGTTGCTGGTGATGTGCCCACAGTACAGTTTGCGGATGATATTGGCTTGTACTTCAGCCACCGGCTGCCTCCTGAATGTTCCGCGGCGCTTACCCGGGCAGTATCTGCAGTGGCTGACTGGCTAGAGGATCGCAACCTCATCCTGAACTCCACGAAGAGCCAAGTCCTGAGCATACACAGTGAAGCCATTCCTGTAAATTGCAATGGGACTAGTTTGCCAGCAGCAAGCACTGCGAAATACCTCGGAGTTCTGCTTGACAGCTCCCTCAACTGGCAGCAACACGTGGACAGCATCGCCAAGAAAGTATCTCAGAAGGTCGGGGCGCTCTGGCGATCTAGGCGAGCATTAGGTCTGAAGGCATGTACACAGTTCATGAAGTCCATCATCATGCCGGATCTGCTGTACGGGTCGACAGCATTTTTCGCCTGCCTGCATTAGGAGCAAGTCTCCCGCTTGCAAGTTCTACAGAACCGAGCTGCCAGGGGAGTGTTTGGCCAGCCACCCTGGTCTTATGCTCAACCCCTCCTGACCAGCTTGCAGCTCTACAGCATTCAGGAGCTGCACGAGCAGAAGGTTCTGAGGTTTGTGTGGCGTTGCCAGCACAATCGCGCCAGCCCAGCCCTCCAGGACAAGTTTCAAAGTGCTCCTGAAAACACCACCCGCCTCCAGCAAGGACAGGGTTTGCACCTGCCGCTAGCCCGGTCAGCAGCAGGGACATCCCGTCCATCACACTGTAGTACCCTCCTCTGGAACACCCTCCCCAGCGAAGTTCGCCTACTCAACCGTCCCAGTGAATTTGCTCTAGCAGCACTGCCCTTCACGCTGGCAGGCTACAGTCCGTTTCAAAATGATTTGCAATCCTGGCGATCGCCCGCGGAGTTTGGCATCTTACCGCATGAGCACTCGAGCGCTACCGAGAAAAACTCACTTTGAACTCGAAGAAATATTCCACGCGAAAGCAGGAAAAATGACAACTCACTCACGTTGATACAGTCATGTACGTCTGGTTTACAACAAACGAGGCCTTCCTCGTAGCGATAATGGAGTCAGATAGGACATGTCGAAACGAAAGCTTGAAATCTTTTATTCTCACGATGGCCTGTGGCCAATAAGAGAATAATAATTACAGGCATGAGGATCGGATACAGGGAGATCAAAGTTTAGCTGCTTGCTGAAGCTGTAGCGATGGCAATAGGGAGTTTATCACATAGGCTGGGCACATTGGAGCTATAGATGTGCTGAGCAATGTGAGCAAGTACATATGGAAGAGATGACAAGTGGTAGGATAATTGCTTTGAAATCTCGTCTGGGGTTGATTTGCCGGAGGCTGAGTGGAATGCTATTAAAGAGATCAAGAGAAGCATAGATGGGGGAGTCTCTTAGCCGGTTTGTACGTGTTGTGGGTAGCTCAAAGGTTCGGGGGAACCTGAGCGTGGGAATGGGTTGTATTCGGGGTAGGTGAATTGCAAGAAGGTGTGGTGGTGCATATCTATGATGCAGGCTATGTGCAAGAAGGATATGGAAGAGGGTACGGCGGCTGCCGAGTGATGGCCATTTGAGTCGGTGCAGCAGCACGGAGTGGGTTCTGTGTTAAAAGAGGGGGAGATGCAAACAGAGGAGGAGCGGCGCGCCGTTGGATGCGCTCAAGCCGGTCATTCAGGGTTGCGGGGAGGGGTGAGAGGACAGTCCAAGCATACTCAAGAATAGGGCGGATGTAAGTTAGATAGATGGAAGAGAGAGAAGTGTTTAAGGAATTGCAAACTGGCTGCACTCAGTGTTGGCATTTGTGCAGGCGGTTGGCAGATCGACTGTGTAGGCCGTGAAAAAAAGCGGCCCCAAGACAGAGCCTTGGGGGACCCCCGCTGGAATGTTCAGCCAGGTTGATTTGCTGCTCTCCGCT